CGAACTGGATGGTTCGGCTGTCGTGCTCGATGACGGTACTTCAGTAGTTGAACTGGATGGTTCGGCTGTCGTGCTCGATGATGGTACTTCACTAGTTGAGCTGGATGGTTCTGCTGTCGTGCTCGAGGAAGGTACTTCAGTAGTTGAACTGGATGGTTCTGCTGTCGTGCTCGATGACGGTACTTCAGTAGTTGAGCTGGATGGTTCTGCTGTCGTGCTCGACGAAGGTACTTCAGTAGTTGAACTGGATGGTTCTGCTGTCGTGCTCGATGACGGTACTTCAGTAGTTGAACTGGATGGTTCGGCTGTCGTGCTCGATGATGGTACTTCACTAGTTGAGCTGGATGGTTCTGCTGTCGTGCTCGAGGAAGGTACTTCAGTAGTTGAACTGGATGGTTCTGCTGTCGTGCTCGATGACGGTACTTCAGTAGTTGAGCTGGATGGTTCTGCTGTCGTGCTCGACGATGGTACTTCAGTAGTTGAGCTGGATGGTTCTGCTGTCGTGCTCGACGATGGTACTTCGGTAGTTGAGCTGGATGGCTCTGCTGTCGTGCTCGATGACGGTACTTCGGTAGTTGAGCTGGATGGTTCTGCTGTCGTGCTCGACGATGGTACTTCGGTAGTTGAGCTTGATGGTTCTGCTGTCGTGCTCGATGACGGTACTTCAGTAGTTGAGCTGGATGGTTCTGCTGTCGTGCTCGACGATGGTACTTCGGTAGTTGAGTTTGATGGTTCTGCTGTCGTGCTCGATGACGGTACTTCAGTAGTTGAGCTGGATGGTTCTGCTGTCGTGCTCGACGATGGTACTTCGGTAGTTGAGCTTGATGGTTCTGCTGTCGTGCTCGATGACGGTACTTCGGTAGTTGAGCTGGATGGTTCTGCTGTCGTGCTCGACGATGGTACTTCGGTAGTTGAGCTTGATGGTTCTGCTGTCGTGCTCGATGACGGTACTTCGGTAGTTGAGCTGGATGGTTCTGCTGTCGTGCTCGACGATGGTACTTCAGTAGTTGAGCTGGATGGTTCTGCTGTCGTGCTCGACGATGGTACTTCGGTAGTTGAGCTGGATGGTTCTGCTGTCGTGCTCGACGATGGTACTTCGGTAGTTGAGCTGGATGGTTCTGCTGTCGTGCTCGATGAAGGTACTTCACTGGTTGAACTGGATGGTTCGGCTGTCGTGCTCGACGATGGTACTTCGGTAGTTGAGCTGGATGGTTCGGCTGTCGTGCTCGATGAAGGTACTTCACTGGTTGAACTGGATGGTTCGGCTGTCGTGCTCGATGATGGTACTTCACTAGTTGAGCTGGATGGTTCTGCTGTCGTGCTCGAGGAAGGTACTTCAGTAGTTGAACTGGATGGTTCTGCTGTCGTGCTCGACGATGGTACTTCGGTAGTTGAGCTGGATGGTTCTGCTGTCGTGCTCGACGATGGTACTTCGGTAGTTGAGCTGGATGGTTCTGCTGTCGTGCTCGACGATGGTACTTCGGTAGTTGAGCTTGATGGTTCTGCTGTCGTGCTCGACGATGGTACTTCAGTAGTTGAGCTTGATGGTTCTGCTGTCGTGATCGATGACGGTACTTCGGTAGTTGAGCTGGATTGTTCTGCTGTCGTGCTCGATGACGGTACTTCGGTAGTTGAGCTGGATGGTTCTGCTGTCGTGCTCGACGATGGTACTTCGGTAGTTGAGCTTGATGGTTCTGCTGTCGTGCTCGATGACGGTACTTCGGTAGTTGAGCTGGATGGTTCTGCTGTCGTGCTCGACGATGGTACTTCAGTAGTTGAGCTGGATGGTTCTGCTGTCGTGCTCGATGACGGTAATTCAGTAGTTGAGCTGGATGGTTCTGCTGTCGTGCTCGATGACGGTACTTCGGTAGTTGAGCTTGATGGTTCTGCTGTCGTGCTCGACGATGGTACTTCAGTAGTTGAGCTGGATGGTTCTGCTGTCGTGCTCGATGACGGTAATTCAGTAGTTGAGCTGGATGGTTCTGCTGTCGTGCTCGATGACGGTACTTCAGTAGTTGAGCTGGATGGTTCTGCTGTCGTGCTCGACGATGGTACTTCAGTAGTTGAGCTTGATGGTTCTGCTGTCGTGCTCGACGATGGTACTTCAGTAGTTGAGCTTGATGGTTCTGCTGTCGTGCTCGATGACGGTACTTCGGTAGTTGAGCTGGATGGTTCTGCTGTCGTGCTCGATGACGGTACTTCAGTAGTTGAGCTGGATGGTTCTGCTGTCGTGCTCGACGATGGTACTTCAGTAGTTGTGCTGGATGGTTCTGCTGTCGTGCTCGATGACGGTAATTCAGTAGTTGAGCTGGATGGTTCTGCTGTCGTGCTCGACGATGGTACTTCAGTAGTTGAGCTTGATGGTTCTGCTGTCGTGCTCGATGACGGTACTTCGGTAGTTGAGCTGGATGGTTCTGCTGTCGTGCTCGACGATGGTACTTCAGTAGTTGAGCTGGATGGTTCTGCTGTCGTGCTCGATGACGGTACTTCGGTAGTTGAGCTTGATGGTTCTGCTGTCGTGCTCGATGACGGTAATTCAGTAGTTGAGCTGGATGGTTCTGCTGTTGTGCTCGATGAAGGTACTTCAGTAGTTGAACTAGATGGTTCGGCTGTCGTGCTCGAGGATGGTACTTCAGTAGTTGAACTGGATGGTTCTGCTGTCGTGCTCGAGGAAGGTACTTCAGTAGTTGAACTGGATGGTTCTGCTGTCGTGCTCGATGACGGTACTTCAGTAGTTGAGCTGGATGGTTCTGCTGTCGTGCTCGAGGAAGGTACTTCAGTAGTTGAACTGGATGGTTCTGCTGTCGTGCTCGATGACGGTACTTCAGTAGTTGAACTGGATGGTTCTGCTGTCGTGCTCGACGATGGTACTTCGGTAGTTGAGCTGGATGGTTCTGCTTTCGTGCTCGACGATGGTACTTCGGTAGTTAAGCTGGATGGTTCTGCTGTCGTGCTCGATGACGGTACTTCAGTAGTTGAGCTGGATGGTTCTGCTGTCGTGCTCGACGATGGTACTTCAGTAGTTGAGCTGGATGGTTCTGCTGTCGTGCTCGACGATGGTACTTCGGTAGTTGAGCTGGATGGTTCTGCTGTCGTGCTCGACGATGGTACTTCGGTAGTTGAGCTGGATGGTTCTGCTGTCGTGCTCGATGAAGGTACTTCACTGGTTGAACTGGATGGTTCGGCTGTCGTGCTCGACGATGGTACTTCGGTAGTTGAGCTGGATGGTTCGGCTGTCGTGCTCGATGAAGGTACTTCACTGGTTGAACTGGATGGTTCGGCTGTCGTGCTCGATGATGGTACTTCACTAGTTGAGCTGGATGGTTCTGCTGTCGTGCTCGAGGAAGGTACTTCAGTAGTTGAACTGGATGGTTCTGCTGTCGTGCTCGATGACGGTACTTCAGTAGTTGAGCTGGATGGTTCTGCTGTCGTGCTCGACGATGGTACTTCAGTAGTTGAGCTGGATGGTTCTGCTGTCGTGCTCGACGATGGTACTTCGGTAGTTGAGCTGGATGGTTCTGCTGTCGTGCTCGACGATGGTACTTCGGTAGTTGAGCTGGATGGTTCTGCTGTCGTGCTCGATGACGGTACTTCGGTAGTTGAGCTGGATGGTTCTGCTGTCGTGCTCGACGATGGTACTTCGGTAGTTGAGCTGGATGGTTCTGCTGTCGTGCTCGATGACGGTACTTCGGTAGTTGAGCTGGATGGTTCTGCTGTCGTGCTCGACGATGGTACTTCAGTAGTTGAGCTGGATGGTTCTGCTGTCGTGCTCGACGATGGTACTTCGGTAGTTGAGCTGGATGGTTCTGCTGTCGTGCTCGACGATGGTACTTCGGTAGTTGAGCTGGATGGTTCGGCTGTCGTGCTCGATGACGGTACTTCAGTAGTTGAGCTGGATGGTTCTGCTGTCGTGCTCGATGACGGTACTTCAGTAGTTGAGCTGGATGGTTCTGCTGTCGTGCTCGATGACGACACTTCAGTAGTTGAACTGGATGGTTCGGCTGTCGTGCTCGATGATGGTACTTCAGTAGTTGAACTGGATGGTTCGGCTGTCGTGCTCGATGACGGTACTTCAGTAGTTGAACTGGATGGTTCGGCTGTCGTGCTCGATGATGGTACTTCACTAGTTGAGCTGGATGGTTCTGCTGTCGTGCTCGACGATGGTACTTCGGTAGTTGAGCTGGATGGTTCTGCTGTCGTGCTCGATGACGGTACTTCAGTAGTCGAGCTGGATGGTTCTGCTGTCGTGCTCGACGATGGTACTTCGGTAGTTGAGCTGGATGGTTCTGCTGTCGTGCTCGACGATGGTACTTCGGTAGTTGAGCTGGATGGTTCTGCTTTCGTGCTCGACGATGGTACTTCGGTAGTTGAGCTGGATGGTTCTGCTGTCGTGCTCGATGACGGTACTTCAGTAGTTGAGCTGGATGGTTCTGCTGTCGTGCTCGACGATGGTACTTCAGTAGTTGAGCTGGATGGTTCTGCTGTCGTGCTCGACGATGGTACTTCGGTAGTTGAGCTGGATGGTTCTGCTGTCGTGCTCGACGATGGTACTTCGGTAGTTGAGCTGGATGGTTCTGCTGTCGTGCTCGATGACGGTACTTCGGTAGTTGAGCTGGATGGTTCTGCTGTCGTGCTCGACGATGGTACTTCGGTAGTTGAGCTTGATGGTTCTGCTGTCGTGCTCGATGACGGTACTTCAGTAGTTGAGCTGGATGGTTCTGCTGTCGTGCTCGACGATGGTACTTCAGTAGTTGAGCTTGATGGTTCTGCTGTCGTGCTCGATGACGGTACTTCAGTAGTTGAGCTGGATGGTTCTGCTGTCGTGCTCGACGATGGTACTTCGGTAGTTGAGCTGGATGGTTCTGCTGTCGTGCTCGACGATGGTACTTCGGTAGTTGAGCTGGATGGTTCGGCTGTCGTGCTCGATGAAGGTACTTCACTGGTTGAACTGGATGGTTCTGCTGTCGTGCTCGAGGAAGGTACTTCAGTAGTTGAACTGGATGGTTCTGCTGTCGTGCTCGACGATGGTACTTCAGTAGTTGAGCTGGATGGTTCTGCTGTCGTGCTCGACGATGGTACTTCAGTAGTTGAGCTGGATGGTTCTGCTGTCGTGCTCGACGATGGTACTTCAGTAGTTGAGCTTGATGGTTCTGCTGTCGTGCTCGACGATGGTACTTCAGTAGTTGAGCTTGATGGTTCTGCTGTCGTGCTCGATGACGGTACTTCAGTAGTTGAGCTGGATGGTTCTGCTGTCGTTCTCGATGACGGTACTTCAGTAGTTGAGCTGGATGGTTCTGCTGTCGTGCTCGACGATGGTACTTCGGTAGTTGAGCTGGATGGTTCTGCTGTCGTGCTCGACGATGGTACTTCGGTAGTTGAGCTGGATGGTTCGGCTGTCGTGCTCGATGATGGTACTTCACTAGTTGAGCTGGATGGTTCTGCTGTCGTGCTCGACGATGGTACTTCGGTAGTTGAGCTTGATGGTTCTGCTGTCGTGCTCGACGATGGTACTTCAGTAGTTGAGCTGGATGGTTCTGCTGTCGTGCTCGATGACGGTAATTCAGTAGTTGAGCTGGATGGTTCTGCTGTCGTGCTCGATGACGGTAATTCAGTAGTTGAGCTGGATGGTTCTGCTGTCGTGCTCGACGATGGTACTTCAGTAGTTGAGCTTGATGGTTCTGCTGTCGTGCTCGACGATGGTACTTCGGTAGTTGAGCTGGATGGTTCTGCTGTCGTGCTCGACGATGGTACTTCAGTGGTTGAGCTGGATGGTTCTGCTGTCGTGCTCGATGACGGCAATTCAGTAGTTGAGCTGGATGGTTCTGCTGTTGTGCTCGACGACCTTACTTCGGTAGTTGAGCTGGATGGTGCTACTGTGGTAGTTGGAGCATTCGATGTGGCCGATTCTATAAATCTGAGCCTGTTTTCTGTCGCAGCTAAGCAAGTTACCTGCGGGAGGACCAGGTGGGCCCGGTGGTCCATCTGGACCAGGAGGGCCCGGTGGTCCATCTGGACCAGGCGGGCCGTCAGGACCTGGTGGACCGGGTGGTCCTGGAGGCCCAGGGGGACCCTCTTCTTCCGCTGAAAAATTTTTATTTATTTTCATTAAAATATATTGCGGTAAAGGTTTTTTTTCAATTTTGGGCATGGGCGGAAATAATTTTTATTAATGCAATTTTTCAAAAACTTCATATATTGAAATGTTTTCTTCCACTCCCAACTATCTATGGATAAACCTGAGTAATTTTTTATAAACAAAATTCAAGTATTCCGTTAAGCAAAAATTGTTGTAACCCAAAAGGTTTTCGTTCTTGTTATAACTGTCAATTTTGAACAAAGCTTCTTAATTGATGCGTTTGAAAAGTCAAAAACTCACAATCGTAATCTTCATAAATGATATCACCAGGTGAATAATAAACCGGTGGATTATAAACTGGCGGAGCTGCGGGATTATACCCTGTCTGTCTATTGTAATTATTATTCTGGTTTCCATATCTGAATGCAATAGATATTGAAATAAAAGAAACGAAGAACAAGATATGCTTTACCATGATTCTTGATGACGTTCATCCGGTTTTCTTTCTATTTTATACTTCTCTCGAAAATTTTCAGATGGCTCATATTGATATTGCGTACGTGATCCAATCATAAACTGTCCACAACATATATTGTTTCCAGATCTGATCCAATGATTTCTAATCGTATTTTGTGTTGTTTTCATACAGAGATCTGTTTCAAAAAGTCACGTACGGTTCTGTTCCAAAGGATGCAAACTGTTCTTTCAGCCCAAGCCGAAAATTCAAAAAGATAACAAAAGATTCAGTATCCGAAAAACTGACAAATCACATATGAAAATGTTCATTTTAAATGTTCAAAAGTTACTCTCAAGTATGAGAATCTGGACAATTATCGTAAACACTATAATAGAACAACACACTTAACTTTCAAGTTCGATCAAATTTATCTCTGTGTCTGTGTAAGATATCTAAAAGTTGTCAAGTAAAAAAATGTTAATTATAATATCAAAACTATTTTGTTAGTTGACCACTACTTGATGTCTTCTACAGAAACCGAGATAAACTGGCTCAAACTTAAAATTTAGGGGAGGCGTTCTACTAGAGATTTTAATTTACGGTAAGACTTCACGGTTTTCAAGTCGGTAAAACTTTAAGACTTTTCCTTGTGGCCAGTACTCCAAAATCTAACAATAATGGACAAATCCAAATGTAATTTTCATATTTACATCGAGTTATGTATGTAATCGGAATCGACGGAAAACCACTAGAAACTGAGAAAAAGATTATTACTGAAAATTTTGAGCAGTCTTGTTGAAATATCATTTTTATAGTCAATAGCTTTTTCTGTACTTCAACTTATTTCCAGAGCCTGAATTTTGTGAGTCAAAATAAATCGAAAGTATAAAATTTATTCCAAATTTCAAAATCATTCAATTAAATTCAGAAGACACATGGAGCTGGCTTTCCACACATGAACAGCTTGGCTGGCCTGAAATCCCACTCTGAGCACCTGAAAAAAGTATTTATTTATTTATTTGAAATCACTCAACTCGTCTTGTCTTACTTTACAGAATACATCTTATTATTCTTGGTCCAGACACCAAAACACATTTTCTTTCCATTGTTTCTGGAAAAAGTTCTCCGTTGATGTCTATGAATTTCTTTCAAAACTCACGGGTTTGGTTGTTGATTTGCGAAAAGAGTTTCGAATAACTTGGTTCCAGTTGTAAAACCATCTGTCCACTGGTTACCCTGAAATATGGGATCGCTTAAGTGGAATTTGATTCAAACTACTTTGGTGCTGGAGCAAGTGGATGTGATCTTGTGACATTCATCCTTTCTCCGAGCTCCAATAATAACAATCGGTTGAACAGTGCTGATAAATGAGAAAGAGGATCTGAACGTATCTGAAAAATAATGGTTCCCCAAATCTCTAACTTTTTATCCTTACTGTATGCTGCTAAATACTCGGTCTGGTTCTGGAAACCTGTCAAGACAGCTCCTTTTTGTTTGCATTCCATATCAAGATTTCCAAAGAGATTCATCTTGTATTGTTTGTTGGTCTTTTTCATTTTAATACACCACACAAGCTCAGATCCACCCTTGTTTCGTGAAGTTGCATAATAGCCAGCTGGACATTCGTATTTACATGCTAAAATGATCTATAATTAAATTTTTTCTGTGTTCAATGTGCTTACAAGATGATCCTGGTGGCCCAGCTGGCCCTTCGCTTCCTGCTTTTCCTATATTTCCAACTTTTCCTGGAGGTCCAGGTTTACCAGGGGCCCCACGAATGTATCGAATTTCCGCTGTAAATGAAAAAAAAACATTTTAGCATTACCTGGGATCGTAACTCACGTTCAAAGTTATCCGGATAGTAATGTATGTCATTTGATGGACCATGAGGACCATTTCGGTAATTAGCACTCACCACACCCAGTGAAGTGACTGCGATCAACACAGCTGTACGAATCATTCTGTATCAGGATATTCGAAAGAATTTCAGCCCTTTTATAGTGTGTCTCTGATCTTTCGAGTCTGTTCCACTGCGCTTATGTATTCCAAAACATTTATGTTTTTGGATGAGGATGATTGGGTTTTTGGGTGATATGCATCCAAGAAGATATTCTGATACAAGTCACGTATGATCTTATAGTGTTGAGGATTTTCAGAGATAGAGCAGGGGTCTTTCAGGGATTATCAAGCTTGTATCGTAGAGGAAAACCCAAGCACTGCCAGGTAAACTCCAGAAGGGAACCGAATGATTTGTTTTGAATTCTAGCTACTCATATTATCTTACTACTTGAAGTCAGCATAAAAAATGTTTATTTGATTTGATTGAATTTTTCTCCATCACACAAAAGCCTTTTTTTTTCAAGGACACATTTCTGTTATGAATTGATCAGAGACATGGGTTCCAATAAGAGATCAAGGGGTTCGGTTTAACCAAGAAAAAACAAATAAATATCGGAAAACCTTATTGGTTAATATCAAAATTTCGCCCGCCAACTCTTGGTTTTAATCAACATCTTGGACTGACGGTTGAACTTTTTGGACGACGGGGATCTCCCCTGGGAGACACAGCTGCTTCGTATTTACGAGAGTTCTCTTGAATCGATGATTCTTTTAATGAAGTGGTACGTAGACAGATTATATCTGAAACACACAATAGTACAAAAAATCCCTAGAAGTCTATCCAAAATTACTGAGTAGTGTGCGTCGATAGACGTTAACAAGGAACAAAACAGCAAAGGGATCCACCCCCGGATATAACTGTCCCATTATGGTCTGGTAATTGGCCAGAGCTCCGAGTTGAAGATTGATAAGTGGACAAGCGTAAAGGAATAAGAGAGGGGCGTACATAAATATCATTGGGATCGCAGCCTAGAAATGAATTATGATTATCTTTATGATCCTTGGATTTACCTGAACAGCCAACGCTCTGAAAAGTTGCATCTGGAGTTCTTTTGTTTTTATAGACATTCCTTTATGTTTACTGATAGTTGAATATGTCTTGAAAGCGCAATAGAATAGTGTCCCAAACGAAACCAACATTATGATAACATGCTGTATGATCCCTATGATGTTCAGCATGATCACTTTTCGAGTTCCCTCATCATTTTCAAACTTGAAACTTTTAAATGAGTCATTTTCTATTAAATAATATGTTATCTTACATATCTGTAGGGAACGTAGTCTACAAAGTTGGCATCTAATCCATATGATTGGTTGACAATGTTCAAGAACACTTTCTAAGTTCTGTCGCTTTGGGGGAATAGGAAAAACGCGGCTGACTCCAACTTAATGCAATGCAGAATGCTCCGAAAATCCAGAAGAAGAACCGAATTCCTTGAAATTTTACTACTTGTTGGGGCATACAAGTAGCTATGTATCGATACAGAAATTGAAGAGCAAATAGTACAAAACTCATGGCATAACATCCACAGTACATGGCTGGAAAATTCCAAAGTTGAAAATATCAATACTTCTGTGGGAAACTCACTTGTGGTGAGATGAGAAGCAAACTTTGACATTTGAAACCATTTTCTCTGCATAACAAAAAGTGTATCGTCGTAAATGTGAATAATCGGTCGGAGGAACATTTCGACCGCCGAATAAAACATAGTGAAGCAGCAGAAGAAAATTAAGATACTTTTGTAGGGACCTTTCACCGGGGAGACTTTACAGAGGATCAGTGCCAAAAGGGTGCAATTAGAGAATAAGGAAAAGGTGATTCCAAACATTCCAGTTGCATTTGTTATGCTGATCCAGACTGCATCAGACATCCTTCAAAAGAGAACGACAAATGGCTTGGTGTCGGGGAGAGCAGGCCAAATTGGTTTTTCTTTTATTCTGATTTTGGTTATATAGATCATAACTTGATGGCGGAATTTTATGACGTATTTTGTCTTGGGAATAAGATAATAATTTCGAAGAATAAGACAATCGAACTCCGGAGATCAACACATTTAAGGCAGCTGAAGTTCTTGGTAGTCTCGGACCGGAACACGAAAAAATCTGAAAACAACAATTAACGAAAATGCGTTAAAAAGCTCAATTGAGTCTCTAATAAGACTTTATATTTGAAATACGAAATAGTCAGTCTTGACAAATATATTTTGATCCTTTTGGTTTTCCAATCAGATTGTATGATTTGTTTTGATGTCAATGTATTGTCTGTCGATGTGTTTCTTTTTTAGATGATTCAAGGTTTATAGGACAACGGACAAAGCTGGATGATAAAAAACACAGTGAAATGAGATTATCAGAAAACATTCAGAACTGCGTAGAAGCAAAAGTTGAAGAAGATGATGGTTTGATTTTCAAGGAACTGAGTCCCATGGAAATATCATAATGGGAGCTTGTCTGTTCAGAGTTTCTGCGGTAGATTATTGCAGGACAAATTTTTGCTGAAAGGAGAAATTATTAAATATTTCTGGAATTTTCTGAAGCTTACACAAAATAGTTTTTCGATACGAATCTATTATTAAAAGTACAACAAATGGATCTATTCCAGGATACAGTTGAGCCATCACTGTCTGATAATTGATAATTGCCCCAAGTTGCAGGTCAAAATAAGGACAAGAAAACATGAACCCGATAGGCATGTACATCATCATCATTGACAAGCAAGTCTGAAAATCGAACAACAATAACGAATGAGGAATTTGATAAATCTACCTGGACCACAAGAGCCCGGAAAAGTTGAAGCTGGAAACTTCGAGTTTTCGTGGACATTCCAACATGCTCTTTTATATTCAAATATGTTTTTATACCACAATAAAACAGAGTTCCAAAGCTCAAGCTCTGTAAATTAAATACTTGTTGCAGTATACAAACTACACCACTCACTATAACCAAACCATGTTGCAAAACTCCAAAGAAGCTCAAAATATTGACATGTCTAGTATGGTTTTCATCGGTGTCGAACTGAAAATTAAATTCCTGTTTTGAAAAAATCAAATTTAGTACAGCTCACATATTTATATGCCACATAGCTGGTCCAGTATGGATCAAGATCATATGATGAATTGATAACATACAGGAAACTTTCAGTGGTTCTGTTCGTTTGAGGAAACATAAAAGCAGCAGCTAGTCCCCAGCTGGTAGCCAGTGATAAGATAAGAGCTAACCAATAATAGAAGTAGCATCCAGTAAAAAACACAACTAAATGAGGTCTGAAATATATGTATGTGTCTTAAAAGTGAAAGTCTAGAAATAGAGCTTACTTGCAAACTGCAACGTACCGGTACAAAAACTGTAAAGCAAACAGGCAAAAGCTCATTGCGTAGCACCAACAATACATGGCTGAAATATTCCCACTACTTATTTCTATGAAATTTTCGGTCTTACTTGGAATCAATCTAGTCAAACCGGGCGATAGGTCAAACATCTTTCTCTGTATCAACCAGAGTGTATCATCATAAATATGAATAAGAGGCCTCAGAATCATTTCTACTAGAGAATAGAACATTGTGAAGATACAAAATACGATGAGCATTCTCTTGTATGCTCCTTTAATAGGAGAGCTGTGAGATAAAATCAAAAACAAAAGAACTGAACTTGAAAAAGCAGTTAAACAAAATCCAATGGGTCCCACAACATCGCAGATGGCAATCCAGTGACGATCGGCCATATCTATAGGAATACACCTAAATTTGGAAGATATGTAAGATGTTCTATTTGAAAAGAGTGGTGAAGAATTTGAATTAAGAAGCTATTCAACTTCAAGCACAGGACTACTAAAACATAATGACGGAGTAGTCTGAGACGGTTACTCATTTGGTGGAAAACTATGAATCAGTCTTCAAATTCAGACTCGTTTTTTTTAATAAAAAATCATAGATCTTAAATTTAAACATTCATAGCTGAAATTTTAAACACTGATCACTGTTAAAACCTGTAATAGAAGGGTCCCCACACTTCAAGTTTGAGTTCGTTTACATTGGCTCCTGTGAAAAATATCAAAAGAGGTCAACTGATAAAATTTTTGCGACATTATGATAAACATTTTTTTCATTAACAACCGTCTGGTATATTTTACGGGAATCGAGAGAAAATGGCGCAAAGTTTTAAGAGGCCCTTCTGTTACAGGCTTTATGGGATATGAAAGAATTATAGGAATGAGTTTATCTAATCTAAATAAAACAAAGAAACGAATGAGTTTCGCTGGTTCTAGATGAGTTCATTATGTAATATAATCACTTAACTGTCTTCAAAATTGAGATACGAGAAACTGATGTGGGATTTGATGAGTTCTTTAGATAGACAATAACATGTATCAATTAAGAGAAAACAACGAATCCTTGGAGATTCAGAACACTATTTCATAGATGTATAACTGTGGTTCCGATATTAGAGTTTATGTCGTTTGAGATCTATGCAAAATTGAATTGAAAACGTTCAGAATCAAAATTGTATGAATAATATGTTCTAGGACATCCGACTGGTTGAAGTCAATCCATTCGAAGAAATCGAAGGTTTGACAGAAACTGAAAACATGGACACGTCCGGTTGAGAAATCGTTTTATGAAGAACCTTCTTATGCAAAAATCGTGGGCAGATGCTATCTGAAATTATCAGTTAATACTGTTCCTACTCGTATAACCTACTAAGAATGGTTCTTCTATATGCATCAATTAGAAAAAGAACTACGAACGGATCGATTCCAGGATACAGTTGAGCCATAACAGTTTGATAATTAGTGACTGCGCCGAGTTGTAAATCAAAATAAGGACAAGAAAACATGAACCCAATCGGAATGTACATCATAAACATTGGAAGGCAAGTCTGAATCGAAATTGAGTAATTACTTAGCAATGGTAATATACCTGAGCAACAAGAGCTCTGAAAAGTTGTAGCTGAAGACTTCGAGTTTTTTCGGACATTCCTGTGTGCTTTTTGATGTTCACATACGTTTGTACACCGCAATAAAACAATGTGCCAAAGCTCAAACTCTGAAAACGCATTCAATTTTTTTGGATTTCCAAAAATATAACTGACTATTACAAGACCATGTTGCAAAACGCCAAAGAAACTGAGAACATTTATGTGCCGAACATGATTCTCATCGGTGTCAAACTGCAATTAACTGTTAATTTAATGGATTTAGGTAGAGTTCTCACATATTTATAAGCCACATAATCTGCCCAATACGGATCCAAGTCGTAAGAAGTTTCGATGACATAAAGAAAACTTTCGGTCGTTCGATTCGTTTGGGGGAACATAAAAGCAGCAGTCAAACCCCAGCTTGTAGCAAGTGATAAGATAAGAGCCAACCAGTAATAAAAGTAGCAGCCAGCAAAGTAGCCGACGTATTGAGGTCTGGAATTTTTAGTGTGTCAGAATTGAACTATATCATGACTTCAATACTTGCACACTGCCACATATCGATATAAGAATTGTAGAGCAAAAAGACAGAAACTCATCGCGTAGCACCAACAGTAAGTAGCTAAAGTATCCGATTTTGATTAATTGTTTCTGTATTGAAATCTTACTTGGGATCAATCTTGTAATCGTTTTAGACAGATCAAAACGTTTTCTTTGAATCAAAAACAGAGTGTCATCATAGAGATGAATCAGAGGTTGGAGCATTATTTCAACGAATGAATAGAAAACTGTGAAGATACACAATACGATCAACATTTTCTTGTATGGCCCTTTGATTGGTGAACTTCTAGAGAATATTAAAAACAGCAGAGTGGTGTTAGAAATAATTGAGAGGCAAAAGCCAACCGGGCCAGCAGTATCGGTTACAACTATCCATTCTCTATCAGCCATTTCAGAGAATAAAATGAATGCACCAGAAATAGATTTTTCTTTTATACCAGCTTGCATAAAACTAAACCGATGGTCTATGAGATGTAGGCGGTAAACTAGGAAGTTCTCAAATTAAGTAGGTATTCAAAAGCAAAATAGACTTTAGTAAGACCAATGTTACACTTCGGCAAAGAAAATGCTTGATGTTTGTGCTCAAGCAATTCAGATTTAGCTCCAAGAATAAGGTGGAGTTTTGAACAAATAACTATGATGGCTTTTGGTTTTCCGGATTGAATATCTGAAGCTTAAAAAATTGTCTAAAACAATGGAAGAATGAAAAGGAAGGATCAAGGAAATAATAACTTTAGAAATGTGTTCTTTGTTATGATTTTTAGAAAATCCATAAGGAAAAAAAAAGAGGAACGATTTTATTATAATTGGTCCCAGGACAGTTCCCATTCACAACTTTTTTGTGGTTTATACATACAGTGACGCGAAAAAAATCGGATCCCAATAGGGATAAAAACTAAATTTATTGACCGAAGATAGGTTATTGGAGAGATGTACTTCAATCGGAGAGATATACTTTCAAAAGCAGAATTTTTGGGATCCTTTCTGCTTGGCTCAGTATGTTTCTCCGTTTCGACTCTTGGCATGTTGAGAGGAACGTTTCCACATTGTCAGCGATATTCTGAACAAATGAAACTTTTCAAAATAGAAAACGGGTAAGGAACATTTTCATTAATGATCTTCTTGAAAGTATCCCCACTGGTCTCCACTTCTCTGCTTTTGCTGACGAAATAAAACTCTATTCCCAAGATCCCTTCCTTCTACAATCTGGAATCAACACTATAGATACCTGGGCCACTAACAATAAGCTTCCTCTAGCTCATACAAAGACTTCTCTTCTACGCCTTGGTTCAAGAAACAAGCACGCTCCCCTCTTCATCTCCTCCTCAGCTTATGATTCTTCAGACAATATTCGTGATCTAGGACTTATTACCGACTCCAAACTTAAGTTCACCCAACACATAAACAAATCGGTTGCTGTTTCACTTCTCCGATCCAAACAACTTTTGAAACCTTTCAAATCCACCAACCCCTCTTTCTACCTTCACTTATTCAGAACCTACGTACTCCCCTCTCTTGAGTACTGTTCAGTAATTTGTTCTCCTCCCCCCAATTCCAAACTCTCTCAAAAACTCGAATCCCCACTCCGTTTCTTCACCCGTAAAGTCTTCCAGAAATGCAATTTCTCATACTCTTCTTATCAAGATCGTCTCTCCCAACTTGACCTCTTCTCTACCAGACATCGTAGACTTAAATCTAAACTTATGCTGCTTTACAAAATGATTAGTGACGCCTCTTATATGCCAGAATTATCCTCTTTCTTAAAAATTTCCGACTGTCCTAGGAGACCTATGACCCATATTCTCTCAGATAAATGTTCCGATGACTTCTTTTTCACCACCGCCCCTATTTGGAATGCAATTGTAAGGAATACTCCCCAATTTTTAACTCCCGGTCAATTTTCTACCTTAATCCAATCTTCCATCACCTGGTTTTAGTTTTCTGCTCACCTTTTCCCTTTTTTTAAAATATCTTGCCAACCTTACATGTTTACCATTTTCTTCCCCATTCTCTAGGTTCATCTCGTTAGGGATTTTATCTAGAGCTCCCGTTATAACTTTTGTGCCATATTTTCTTCTGATCAATAAATTATTATATATTTAGGCACCACAACAAAATTTTCAAAATAGACTTTTCCCAGTTTTTATTGTTGGATTGTATTCTCCTACTTTATAGAAGTCCATTCCCAAAATTTCAGGGAAAAATCTTCATTCAATCCCGAGTTACAGCCCCTTTTATACCAGACCTCAATGTACTGAATTTCTCCTCATTTTTTTGCGGTGCGCAGAAAAGTGGGCGGGGCTTAGCTGCGGCGCGGTTTCATTGTGGCGCTATTCCGAGCGCTGTTTTTTCATCAAAATCGCATCTTGGTTTGTCGGAAAAGCAGTTTTTAGGGTAAAAAAACGAAAAGAATAAGTTTATAACATTCAGACTTCAAAATTTTACTATAATTTATTGATTAACAATACCTCCTTTCCTCCGTTTTTCTGGGGGCTCAGGATCCATTTTTGAAGATGAATCAGACATATCGTAATTATAATTATAGTAAAAACAACAAAATCACAAACTTTCTGAATTACTACGGTACTTTCTGTTTTGTGCAAACACCGTGGCCCATTGAAAAAAGGAAAAAAAAAACAAAAAAACCCCATGGGAGATGCGAACTTCGGTCTTCAGATCGGTGCGCGCGCCCACTAACCAGTCTGCCACCGCTGCACTTCTCTTGGAAGCAATAGATGAGAGTGAGGAAAGGACGACTTTTCATTGCCTGCCGTCTCCTTCCGGTGTTGCCTCTTTCCTATTTTTTACAAGTTGTTCCATGATAGATAAGGAAACAGACGTATAACACATTAAGGGCGTCGATAGAATTTTTTAATTATAATTGCTCTTAGTGGCAAATTTTGCGTAGAATCTTATGGTGAAAAGAAAATCGGTGGCGCTCACCTGTGTCACCTTCAAAACTTCCAAAAACTGAAAATTTTGAAAGTTTGGAATTTTCGGATGAGTATCAAAACTACTTAGAGGTATTCAATCTTTCTGAAAATTGGCAGAAGTATACACAAGACTTAGTTTTACCATAATATGCAAAAAAAAAATTGGGGTCATCGCTGAAATTTTTTATTTATTTTAGCTGGAACTTTGGCTGAAAATTGTGAAACAAGGGCGTCGTTAGAATTTTGATTTTATTTCAAAATCCAATCCCCCAGTTCAAAAACTATCAGAATCCATTAAAAAATCTAATGGCGCGAACTTCCATCCAACACTTTTAGTCCACTTTGTCAGTCCCACTTCTATTTTTCGAAGTTTTCGAATCAAAATAATAAAGTTATCGAAGAACTGATAATTTCATTGGATTCAGCGTAGTCGATTACATAGGGACAAGTTCTCACCAAAAAAATAATGGGTTTCTAACGCCCGGTACAAGCCTTCAAAGATGGATTTCTGAAAAGGGGAGAAAAATTTGGTCGCCCCGCCCCCTTTCATTGCGGTGCCTATATATATTATATAACTTTAAACTGGACCAGACTTAAATTGGAAAACACAATCCGGAAAATCGGATATCCGATTGTTTCCGTTTTTTTTTTCGAAAAACTTAATTCAACACCGCATAGAGCAATAACTTCAGGTTTGAAAAGGCGAAAATCAACATTAATATTGCCGGTGCTCCTTTTACGTATCGTTCTTTTCAGAATGATTTTTTTTGAAACAAATCGGAAAATCGGATTATCCGTTTTCAGACTCCGAGCAAACCGAAACAGGGCCCGAGTCTGAGAATGCGAAAACTTATTTTTCCAACAGTGGTAATATAATTTTAATTGGAAATTACAGGAAAATTTCATGAAGAATATTTTTGAAGCGAATGATGATTTGATAATTCGAGAAGAAACAAATTTACCTTTTAAAATGTTTAAATCAGCGACATTATAATGAAAGTAAGAAGAACGGAACTTCAAAGTTCACATATTACTCCGGTTTGATGTATGTGGCCGGAATTTTCACTTTTTAAAACCTAGAATGTCACTAGTTCATTTGATATGTGTCTCCGCCACTAACTTTTCTTTTAGTGATAAGACTTACCAGAAAGCCATGTGCTGCTGCTGTTGTACTGCTGATAAGCCGGTTTTGCATTGTTTCATTTTGTTTCCTTCTTTCTCGGTGCGTCTCCACTGTGATCATTTTTTTGAAGAATGGTCAATTGGACCAACGCTCGAGATATAATAGCTTTTTGGTACGTTTTCCATCAATTCCTACTTTGACAGACTCTAATTTATTGCAGGCTACTAGGGTTGTGTAACAATTACGGGTATGTCATTATGTTATCAGCTGCGGAAGATATTCTAGATAATCAAAAAGGGACCGGCTCGACGAATACCAGTAACACCTGTGAGGTTTTGAGTTTTTATTCTGGAAAATTTGAGCATTTATATTATTCAGACCGGTTTAACGAGTAGACACTGTAACTCTGTTTCTGCTGGAGCTGTCCTTCTAGCTGATAACCTCCCAGCGTTGGTCGTGCAAACCACGTTTCCATTTTTTATGCATCGATTTCCATTTGGGTGAGTAGCATGACAACTTGAAGTTCATCTGAAGTTCGGTTTCAGATTCCGAGCAGTTATAGTTTTCGTCCTACAAGCAGCTTCATATTTCATAGTTGCATATTCTGGAAGCATTGCAATGTCCCTAGCAGGAGTATGTATGGCATCGTTGGGTCAGGGAATCGGAGAAATTACGTTCTTGGCGATGGCAGCGCATTATGTACCGTAAGTTATCTCCAATTAGTAGCAAAAAATATAAATTGCAAGTGTCTATTGATTCATTAAAGGT